TCTGATGGCAGCTGCGTCCAACGTGGTTACTTTTGGCCTGCTGTACATGAGACCCCTACAGTGGTGGCTTAAGACCAAGGGGTTCTCCCTGAGGGGAAACCCACTTCGCATGCTCAAGGTCACACGGCGGTGCCTATGTGCCTTAGACATGAGAAGGAAACCTTGATTCTTATCTCAGGGCCCGGTGCTAGGAGCGCCTGGTCGCCGCATATGCTAGCGACGGATGCATCTCTCACTGGTTGGGAGCGGTCATGAGTGGCCGCTAGAGTCTTTGGCCAGGCTCAGGTGGACTTGTTTGTGACTCAGATGATATCGCACGGTCCCCTCTGGTTCTCTCTCTGACTCATCCAGCTCCACTGGGGGTGAATGCCATGGTACAGATGTGGCCGAGGCTTCGTCTGTATACCTTTCCCCTGATTGTTCTGCTCCCAGGAGTTCTGGCCGGACTTGAGTATGGTTCTCGGGCCTGATTTCTCTCCTCGACGGCGCTCCATGGGAGATTCCCGTCAGGAGAGATCTCCTCTCACAGGCGGAGGGCGCACCCCCGCCCGGAGCTGTGGAAGCTGTGGGTGTGGCCTCTGAGGAGGCACAACTCATAGCTTCCGGTCTCTCAACCGAGGTTGTTGAGACCATTCTCCATCCAGAGCTCCCTCTATGAGGAAACTGTACTTCTTGGTGCGAAGACCGCCAGCTCGACCCAGCTAACTGCCTGTTTGGTACAGTTCTGGAGTTCCTGCAGGCCTGTTTATCCACAGGGTTGACCCACTCCACCCTAGATGTCTTCATGGCGGCCATTGCGGCCTACCACGCCCCTCTCGGTAGCCATTCAGTGGGAAGACACGCTTTTCTTACACGTTTCCTCCGCGGTGCGCTGAGGCCGAGGCCTCCGGCCAGAGACACTTATGCTTATGGATCAGGATGCTTTTCCATAGCCTTGAGTCCTCTGACCTCCCCTCTCCTTTGGGGGTCAAGGCTCACTCCTCCAGAAGTTGGCCTTCGGGACGGCGGGCCCCGCCTACTTAAGCCACTCCGGGCTCCCTTTTCTCTCGCCTTAGTTGTGCTCTTCCACACTAGGCAGGGATTTGTAAGTCTGGTGGCGTGGGCATTCTCGTTCCCGTAGCGTTTCGATGCAGCTCGAGTTCCTGAAGGGGAACGTCTCCAGGTTACACATGTAACCATGGGTCCTTGAAGGGAATGAGACGCTGCGTCTCAGGGCCATACTTCCGGCATCCCTGCCAGCGCTTGCTTCACTCCTAGAAGCTGACGCCGGTTTCACCGCACCTGCTTTTATGCATCCTGGTCACTACATCACCCCGCCCGTGACATCTCGCCCATCCATTGGACTGATTACACATGTGATTCAGAGCGTGGTCACGTTGGAGGCATTCCCGTAGCATTTTGACGGAGCGTCTTGTTCCCTTCGGGGAACCATGGTTATATGCGTAACTTGGAGATGTTTTATTTGTAGTAAAACCATGGCTAATTTGTATTGTTTGTGTGCGTTGGTGCTCTTATTCCGAAATGGCTGAATGAATGTGCGGTAAGTGCTTTATTTAACGATGTTAAACCCACAGTCTGTGTTAAACATTTAAATATTTTTTAACAGTAACACGTTGACAGTGCGACTACTTTGAATATTAATATTTTGGCATTAGGCTACATACTGTGAAATGATGACACAGAATATGACACAGAATAGTGACTAACATATTTAATACAGATAAATAAAGGTTCATTCTGATCTTATTCATCAGATCTCACAAACACTGCAGCATCGCGTGGTGAATCACGTATGATTACCAGCACCGCTTTCTCAGATTGGTTTATGTTGGATTAAAACTTCACGTTCCGTTGAGTTTGGAAAATCATCAGAATATGTCTTCTCTGTCTCAGAAAATATCCGGCTTTTGAAATCATCCTGCAAACTCTCGTTTTATTAGGCGTTTAAGTCAACTACATGATTACAGCACACTGAAATTATACATAACTGGAAATAACTGAGCCGTAATATTTCTAAATTAAGTGCGTCACGAGGCTTAGTGCAAGTAGTCCATTAAATGGATTTAAACGTTGAATCACATGAAACATCACCAGGCTGTTGGCGCCCTCTGCAGGTATTTGTTATAATATAGGCATATTACATTATGTATTTAACAGTTGTTCAATAAAACCATGTACTTGGTTTTGATACTTTATTTGAGCCAATTATTATTGCCTATTGCTATAGTTTATATATAAATATAGTCGTATTAAAGCCTGTTTTTCACTTAGTTCTATTTGTATTACTAAAACATACTTGTCAAAATAATCAGTAGATTACTTGATTAGCAAACTAATTGTTAGTTAAACCCTAGATTTGTTAAAACATTTCAAAATATAACTGCATTGTTCTACTTTTTGTAATTAAAAGACAAATATTTTGTCATTCAAATATTTCTTAAAGTATTAAAACATTGTCTCGTTCTATTGAACCAAGTATATGCACTTTGTCTCATCTCGTGAGCTAAGTTTATTGTCACACCCCTAGTGTTGATAAGCGGTGATATAGCTCATAATTTTCCAAGTGTATCATATAGCCTAGCTTTCATTCTTCAGGTCAATCATATATTCATGAAAAAAAAACTGTTTGAATAAGGAAAGCGATAACTTCGCCGTAGTATCCTTTCAAATTTTAAAGTTGCCACAGTCATTGCATTCTTTGCATGTGCTGCACTTCATTTGTATAATTTGTTTTATTAGTTTATATATTAGAATTTGAAAGACAATAACAATATTTTTGATAAGTGATAAGTGAGATCTGATTTTAGTCCTTGAAAACCAAAAGAGTAGTGCTTGAAAAGTCCTTGAAAGTCCTGGAATTTCATTTTGCAGTATCTGTGTGAACCCTGTTTAAGTTACCAATTCTTGGAGCATTTTATTTTGTTGTTGTTAATTGAACTGAACTGTAGTTTTCTGTAGTAAAATGTCTTTATATATTTCCTATTTTATATTCATTTCCTAGTATTTAATTTACTATTATTTCTTTTGAACAAAGCAATTTCAGAACTTTCATGTTTTAGATTATAGGTCATCTTGTACCCTGTCAAGGACAAAGCTAACCAGCAAAACTTGGTATCAAAAGCATCCTAAATGTTACATGTGTTTGCATTATAGTGAGTAACCTTTCCTGGTATTGCTGTTTCAAATATCCCACCATAATCTCTAGTCTGAGCCTGTCAAGGGCTAATAACAAGGGCAGATATATTACTAGTTAGTTTCAAGGAAAATCATTTTCAAATAATGTTCTTTTTTTTGCCAAATAACCCTGTGTATGTGTCCACCCCCGCAACCCCCCAACCCTGGAAAAAAGTTCAGGTTCAGGATTTTTTTTTTCGCTTTAACCCCTGTAATAGTGAGAATTATGGACACTAAAGTGTTACCAATATTCTTATTAACTCAACAAAGTATTTAAGTGAGAAGTGTACATAAAAAGCATGCATTTTAAGGTTAGACTTTAAATTTTGATATTAAATCCACTATTGTATTGTTTATAAATGTTCTACAGTCTATACACAGTATTAAGTTCAATTACATAAGTAACTAATTAAATTACAGAAAAAATAAGAGTAATCCCTTACTTTACTTTTTCAAGGGAAAAGTAATTAAATTACAGTAACTAATTACTTAGTAATTAGTTGCACCCAATACTGGCAAAATGTAGGTTTGATTTCAGCAGTATCTGCTCGGATGGATTGGAACACTCTAACAGTGCCATTACAGGGCCATCTGGAATAATCTGACTAGACAGAAATTAAGCAACTGAAATAGTCACAAGCAGTTCCTCTTAAAAATGCCAAGGAGAGCAGGATCTCTCCGAATTCTTTCAAAACTCTGTTGGAGATTATGTCCAAAGTGTTAATTTAGACAGAGCTTTGAGCCAAATTGGAGTTGAAAAGGTGAAATGAGTGCATTCAGAAGGCTAATAGTCAGTACTTCCCAAGTGTCAGACAGATATTCGATTCTTTGTTCAATACTTCTTGAAGGACATAATAGATTAGTTCCCCTGACATGCAATGTGTGTGTTTCAGAACAAATGAACATGTTTCTGCAGTGACGTTAATCAAGACTTGGTGTGTCAGGCTTGTATCACTGCCGCCCTTCCATTCTGCCGTCAGTGGCAAGCGTTAATTGGACTCGAGGTGGAAGCTCAGGAACTGGCATTTTTCTAGGATCTTCTCTCATCATCTATCCCTGCGGGTGTGTTTGTGTGATTGTTTGTCTGTAGGTCCTGTCATCCATGCCTGAGAGCAGCCCGATGCCCCGAGGGCACAGGGAGCCTGAAGACTCTTCGGCCAGCTGCAGCGACAGCAGCTCTGCTTCCGACGCTGATGGAGAAGATGAGAGCAGCAGCATCACGCAAGAGAAATTCAATCGCCCAGAACGCTCCAGTGAGTTCTTTCTCTGGGCCTGTGAAAGAAAGAGGTCTGGGAGCTGCTATTGACCTTTTTCCACAGGTTATTGTTTTCTCAAAATGGTTCCAGTGCCATATCTGGAAGAAACCGTAGATCAGGAGAATGTAAAATTTTACTTTATTTTCAAAGTTTTTATTTATTGATTTTTTAATATGGAGTCAGTCAATTTTTTTTATGGTTTTGAAGATATAAATCTCTTATGCTGACCAAACTTATTTGATTAAATATTCAATAAAAACAGTAATGTTGTGAAATATTTAAAATAACTGTTTATAATTATAAAATATTTAAAAAAATTTAATTTATTCCTCCAACGGAAAAGCTGATTTTCAGTCTTTACTGTCACCTTTGATCAATGTAATTTATCTTTACATATACTACAAGATTGATTGATTGACAGGTGATGTCGTGAGAGGTCCCTCGGCTCTCATGCGCTGCAGCTTTAATGAGCTTTTCTGATGTTTCAGTCCGCTGGTTTAAAGGGAGACTGGACGCTCAGCTCGGGGAAAGCACAGGTTGGGGAGAAGTTCAGAGGAGCACTTCTGGTGTACCTTGAAAACTGTGCAAACAAGCCCCGAAAAATGTTTGTTTTAAAGTAGAGGTGTTCCTTGGGGTCCAGCATCCTACACAGTCTTTATATATACTGTATATAGATGTTTTTGAAGCTGCGCTCACTATTCCTCCATGTGATGTTTTTCAGAAATATGGTTCAATAAAGGCTTGAGATTATTAGATTTATTTTTTCTTTTTCAATAAATGGTCATGATAGGAGTTGCTAAACCTTAAGAATTTTTTTGTCCACTTGTCAAATTGTTGTTATTGCTTATTTTTTAAACAGAGGTTTGCCATTTTTGCAACCTTGTTACATAAATTGAAGAAACGTCTAAAAACATTGTAAAACTAAAATGTGTGGAATGTAATCATTTTCTTGCTATAAACAATTAACAAACCAATTTAAATTACATTACAATATTTAAGCCAAAATGAAATAACTAGAATTTAAAGAATTTTATAATTTCAATTCAATGATACTGTTTATTTTCCACCTTGCACTAAAAGTGTAAAAATGTACATCCTTAACTTGAGTTTCACTGTTCTATGCAATATTTTTAATGAGAGGGGAAATCATGTACAGGCTTGTCCACAAAATATGGGACACCGCTAAATACAATGTTTCTGTTAACAGTTAACAATACTTTTTCCAAAATGATTTGAACAATTAGTTTACTAGCTTATATCATGATTTGATCATGATGATCATGACAAACTGGGGTAGGACAGGCCAAAATGTTATGCTATGATAATTTTGTGTATATATAGTTTATAGTTCAGTAATGGAGAACTAGTTTGTACCCTATTTTTGGAAAGTGCCATAGATTGTGCAGTATATTGATTATCCAGGCCTGACACAGTTGAAGCCATGCCTTTTCCATTAGCCACTGAAAGAGGGACAAAGCAACAAGCTGACAGCTTTATTTGGTCTGCGAGGGGTCGCTGGTGATTGGGTTGCTGCCGGAGGGGGCTTTGGGCCATTCTGGGGTGACATTGTTTGCCCCCTTTGCCCCACACCACCCTGAGGCCATCTGCGATAGTCCGAGCTAAGCTGCTATAATACCGCATTTGGCAACTCCTTCCCTCAAGATTCACGGATGAAGCGGTGATGCCGCTGGCTAGCTCACAAACTGGAGGTCATTCAAAATCGTAGATTTGTCTGTATGTGTGTTTCAATTCACTGTCTGGCCTGAGTTGGAAACTTGACAGCCACTCAGGCCTGCAGGATGATCACATGGTGAAGTGATTAATTAAAAAGCTTTTTTGTTGGTTATTAGATTTCCGATGCTAGACTTAATTTCCAAGAGTGTGTGTGTGTGTGTGTGTGTGCGTGTGTGTGTGTGTGTGTGTGTGTGTGTGAGAGTGTGTTTTAAATTGAAGTCAAATGCTTTGGTTCTTTGTTTTAGGTCGTGTTCATTGGAAACCTGCCCCTAAACCAATGCGAGGTCCTTCCTCCTCGCCCAATCTTTCCGGGCTCATCCGCCGCTCCATGTCCTGTCCGCGCTCCATATCCTCTCTGACTGCGCAGTCACCTACCAATGAGACCAGACGGCCAAAAACAGCCACTCACATGGCTAATGCATCGACTGCGGCCGCTCAAACAGCAGCCACCATAACGCAGATGACCCCGATTCGATCCCACATGGCATGTCGCTCCCATTCGCTCAGTCGCAACAGTTCTACAAACAGAGTTCCACACAGCAGCAGTCTAGGTGCCATTCACCCCAATACGGCAAGTAACAGATTTCTCTCTATCGCACACAGGGAATATTCACAAATTACCATACTGCTCGTTCTATTCATGCAGAATGTGCCCTGCAATTCCATATGCATTGATTACCCAGTCAAAAGATTGCATTTGTCTGAATTTGCAATATACAACCAGTGCACACGACTGTATGTGGAATTAAGTATCCCGCAAAGCAATGACCTGACCTTTCATTTCCAGCTTGATGAATGAACAGGAAGTTCCAGTTCCAGCTTAATTTACACCCCTATCAGAAAAAGGGAAACATAAAGTGTATTTTGCATAATGGAAATTAGATTTAGAGTTTTTAGATAATGAGAGTTTTTAGATTCTTGTACTGTGACTTTATATTCATGACAGTTAAGCACGTTTTCAAATTCTCAATATATCTAATTATTCAAAATATCTGAAAAAGATATGATACATATTATATTATTATACTATATCATGGCAGTGCTTCTTGCCATTAATATATGCTCATTTAAAAAAAATAACTAAATGATATATATCAGAAATAAGAATTCTGATTAGAATCACCACTGAGAGAATACAATTACTTTACAATTACCTATTCATTTTCTTGTTTTGATTTTGGGGAAAAAGTTTTTTTTTTTTTTTCATGAACCTCTCTTTCGCATGGTTGCATGTTTGCAGTGCCTCAATATATAATTGTACTGACCAAAGATATTTTTTACATCCCACCATTTCCCCCATCCCCAAAATGGTTGCTATAAAGCAAAAGCTACATAATTTATTGGATGGGAAATAAGTGAAAATTAGTCATTTTGGATACTGCTATAGACACTACTGCAGCATAGAGTAAGCATTACACTAGTATTTCATCCTGAACATAGACTATATCTACACAGACACATCTATCATTTTCTTTACCCTAGATGTCCTCTCGAGAATCTGAACAGATGTTCACAAAGATGGCTGATTTAGAGAAGATCTGGCAACACACAACCTGTAAAAATGACAAATATAATTTTTATTTTCCCATCGCTATCCTGAGTCATTCTAATCCATCAAACAATAGAGATTCAACACACGCACAAACACATAATCAGTCACACTGTGTTTTCATACTCTGATCGTTCCTTCTCGTTCTCTCACTCTCTCTGGGCACACCTTGGAGAGGAAAATCAGTCATATTGTGGAAAAAATTGGGAGTGTGAAGCTAAATTGGGCCTGTATTTACGGGCACATTCATCTCGTGAATACCAGCACTCCCCCTTGTTCAAACTCTCTCATTAAGGAATATTAATCAGGAAAAACAGCACACACACTTATGCTCTGTTTAATAAGACTTTAGATTGTGTTTAGCAAGACGGACTACTAAAGCTACATGCTCTTTTCAGAGTAATTGTATATAGACTGCATGATCATCAAGTTAATAAGGCTTCATTTTCTAATAATGGAACCTGGTTAATTAGGATTTGTGCTCTTTCCTCAAAACTCTTCTAATACTTGGAGTTTGTGCTGTGTTTGTAGGACTCTGATAAGACTAAGTTTTTTGCTCAGTATATGAAGCCTTGAATATGATAAATCTCAGGAAAACATGTCCATCATAGTGTACTCGTCAAAATTTACAGATTCTTTAGTATTACTATTTTCCACATTTTAGAATAACAGTAAAAACACACAAAACTATGAAAAATCTAAATATCAAGATTTCAAAAAAGCAACCAGCCTCTTTCACTCATGATTTTTTTTAGCAGTATTAAAAGGACTATTTACTGCATGCTAGGCACCTGGCTGTTTTTTCCCCCCTAAACCAGCCAGTCCAACTCATCTTTATGAAATAAATATACATAATTCATTGGAAGGCACAATTTGGAATTTATATTCTACACTAAAACTGGTAACCTGCAGTTGTCACCTTAAAGGGATAGTTCACCCAAAAATGAAAATGTAATGTTTATCTGCTTACCCCCAGGGCATCCAAGATGTAGGTGACTTTGTTTCTTCAGTAGAGCACAAACGAAGATTTTTAACTCAAACCGTTGCAGTCTGTCAGTCATATAATGACAGTCAATGGGCTCCACGGCTTTGAGAGTAAAAAAAAACATACACAGACAAAACCAAATTAAACCCTGCGGCTTGTGACGATACATTTAGGTCTTAAGACATGAAACGATCGGCCTGTGCAAGAAACTGAACAGTATTTATATCATTTTTTACCTCTGATCCACAGCAATATCCAACTGTCCTGAGCGCGTTCACAACAATCGGCGCGTGACGCGTGTACGTGCTCTGGCATAGTAGACAGATATATATAAGTAGATTCCTCATTAGTGACTGTTTCTATGGGCAGCGATACGTTCCAAAATGGCGGACGCGTCAACGTATCTGGAGCGGTCGAATAGGGCATCTATACATATCTATGATAGTAGACGCATGTGCGGAAGCGATCTGTCGCGCGTATACGTCACTCATTATTTACACAGTGCAGAGAGATTGTGGACGTGTTCACTGGCACTGCGATGATCTAAAGATATTTAGAAGTACAGGTCATCACAATGGAAGATAATTTTGATATATCATCAGACAACGTGGAATTTTTTTGCCCGACCATATTTATTTGACGTCACACGCCGGATGTTGTGAATGCGCTCAGGACAGTTGGATATTGCGGTGGATCAGAGGTAAAAAATTATATAAATACCGCACAGTTTCTTGCACAGACCGATCGTTTAGTGTCTTAGGACATCAATGTATCGTCACAGGGTTTAATTTGGTTTTGTTTGTGTATTTTTTTTTTTACTCTCAAAGGTGTGGAGTCCATTGACTGCCATTATATGACTGACAGACTGCAACGGTTTGAGTTAAAAATCTTTGTTTGTATTCTACTGAAGAAACAAAGTCACCTACATCTTGGATGCCCTTGGGGTAAGCAGATAAACATAACATTTACATTTTTGGGTGAACTATCCCTTTAAGGAGCTATTGCTATCTGATCTAACCCTAATATTTAATTTTGTTGGTATAACTAAAGGTTAGGTAATAACTAAGGTTTCACGGTTTCTGAAACCTTATTTCTAGAAAGTAAAGATCACTGTTTTCTTCTCACAGCGAGCAGTCAGGCACCATATGAACGCACTGCTGCGATGGCCGAAACAAACCTGATGACTGCAGAGAAAAGACGTCCCGCTCAATAATTCATCTTTATTGTGTTGGTTCTTTGCATGTGCGGGTGTAGGGGGAGACCCTGCTGAGTAAAGAGCAGGAGGCCGAGCTGATGCAGCAGACACTGGCTGCGCTCGGGGAGATGAGGATTCGTTACCCGGGGAAGAGCGAGGAGGAGGCCGAGGCTGTGTTGGATGAGGTGAGACATGCAGCTGAGAGAAAGCGCTCGGTCAGGGCAGGCACACCGGCTGCTCTGTTCCCCTCATTCCCCGAACTCATTTGAGGACGTCCGAGCCGTTCGCAGCGTCTCTCGTTGTATGTAGAGTCATTAGCCGTCCACCTGTATGCTTAATGAGATCCATTAGCTGTCTGCGCAGAAACACAGCTGTCCAATAGCACCTGTTTAAGACACTTTCCAGCATTCATTTACACCGGCCCTTTTTACACCGATAGATCTGGTGTACATCTGCACATTAACAATTATGGAAACAGCATTTAGAAGGAGAAGCACAATTGAACTGATGCCGCTCTATTACCGGAGCTGTGAAATTGTAATTGGCGCCTTCCATGCACACGGTACACTTTGGTAATTATTTTATTTTAATCCATTAGAGGCACACTATTAGGTGTGTTAGGTAAACTCTTATCTAACATAAAATTAATCTAGTGTGAAAAGTAGCTAGTTTTAAACACACTGAATGCCTGAAATCACCCCGACCCCTGTGAAGGTAGAAGTATAGCCAAACCCGAAAGCTTTTAGATTAGAATTTTGAGAACTTGTACAATACATATTTGTAAGTTGAAATTTACACTTACAGCTCTGATGTGAAAAGCTGAATGTTTTGATTTACACATAGACAATTATCAAAACACAGCTGCAGTGAAATAGTTTCACATAAAGATAGACACAAAGGTGTATTGTACGTATATTTACTTTTGCACTTGTTACTTTCACGGCCGCTGGTTGGCACTTACAACCTCTCAAATCTTACATTACAACCTTACAGTACAATCTTAGTGCCTTAAAGGGATAGTTCACCCAAAAATGAAAAATGTGCCTGTGTTTTACTCACCCTCAAGGCATCCTAGGCGTGTCTGACATTCCTCTTTCAGACAAACACATCCGGAGTTATATTCGAAATTGTCCTGTCTGTTCCAGTCTGTATATTTGCAGTGAATGGTGCCCCTGTTTCTGAATCTGAAAAAAGTCTATCCATCCATCATGAAACTGCTCCACCTGGCTCCGGGTGTGTTAATAAAGGCCTTCTGAATCGAAACGATGCATTAGTTTAAGAAAAATGTTGATTCTTAAAACTTTATAAACTGTAATGTCCAGCTTCCGGTCGCTCAAGCAGGTGCGTTCACGACAAGGCGGTCGATCATATGACGTAGGCGTAACGAACGCAGCCTAATTTTCATTTTTTGGTGAACTATCCCTTTAATTTCCGCTGCTACCTTTGTAATATCCCTGTTGCAAAACTCACTTGTGCACTTGTAAATGAGCAAAACCCGGGATGGGGCGAGGAATAAAGCTGTTTTTTGGTCAATGTCTGAAATTTTTAAATGCGTAAGTATCAATTATTTGTAAAACGCTAGGAAGTAATTGACATAAATATTATTGACAATTTTCACATCTCTATAAATTGATATAGTGATAAATGGAAGCTGCAACAAATATAATTCTTGCATGATTATTTGCTGTATTAGAAAACAAAAGAAAATATCCAAGATAGTATTTCTATTACTTTACAAAAGAGAAAATAATGTTGAGAGATTGATTATGTTGATCAGAGGAGAGAATGATGTCAAATTTACCATCAGCTGTTGTATTAGAAACACAGTTTTATGTCATTTAATGCAAAGGTAATATAACACGAAGTATAGTTATACATGTACTGTACATTAATTCATTTCAAAATATAAATATAAAAATAACTTTGCTAGAATTGTGATGTTAATAACTTTGGAAACTCATCATCACAGTCTGTGAAAAGTCCATTACCCTTCACTCTGGTATGTTAAGTCTCTACATTCATCTTGGCATTCAGGTATTATCTAGTGAAGAAATGATGCAACATCTTATACAGTATATGTACTATATTGCATATATATTACAGTTTGAGAGTCACATGGCTGTACCAGCTTTTTATTAAATTAAAAAGCTAAAGGATGGGAATATGTTGCACCATGTTATATAATGACAGTCATAAAGACACAACTGAAAATGAAACAGGAAGAAAAATACTTACCAATATAGTGCATAGTTAGGGTGTAATGGACCAAAAGCTAATCTTAACCCTATGCCCAACACATAAAATTCACATTGCACTCAGAAAGAAAGAAAAAATGATGGATTGTGTATTGTATTCATCAGAATACTTTATTTTGGTAGACCTATTCTGCTAACCCCAACCTAACAGTCTACTAATACGCTAATGAGAGTTAACATGTGGTTGCAAATTAATTAGTTAAGTTAGTTGACAGTTACAAAGTTACTTATAGTTAGTAGAATGCTGTAGCCACTAAATTATGCTTTTTTAAAAAAAAAAAGCTTGGCAATGTACAAAGAAAGAGCAAGAAAGAGTTTTAAGTTTTTCCTGCTGTATCCTAATAATACTTATAAGGCAAATGCAGACTGATTAAAAAGACATTGCAAACTATAAACTGCTATGAAAGGTGAACTAAACCTTTCAGCTTCACATGCATGGTGGGGAACCAACATTTAGTCCCAAACTAGCCGACTCCTGCTTATTTAATCTGTATTTAGACATGACAGATGTTGGTAACAGGAACGCAAAAATCGCAAACCTCTTATTAAAGGAATAGAAAATAAAAGCAGCTCATATAATATTTAGTTTGACCTCCTGAGATTGACGATCAACATTTTGAAGGTTAAGCATCTCGTTTCTCTGACACTGGTGAAAAAACGAAAATAAAACGATTTTAGAATAACTCTCAAATTTTGAGAGCCTTTCCTGTAAGTGTTTGTAATTAATATTTTTCAATGTTTTTGGTCTAATTCACAGTCTAAATGAGTTATTAATGATAAGGAAGATAAATGATAAATATGACTATATTTATGCCATCGTCTCACACTCAAAACATGGACATAGTTCATCTACTCGTTTTAGTGCCGTGTACGAGAATGTATTCACTAGAAGCGGCGTTCACTGGTGCATGCTGTGCCACCGGGATTCAGTGAGAAGAGTGGGTATATTTTATTGATAATGTAAATGATGTAAATATATTCAAACATTCAGATCAATGTTCCAAAATGTAAAAAATGTATATGTGGGGAGAGAACCCATGTGAATAGACTGTTCTTATTCAAGGTCCTTGTGTTTGTAAAATAAAAGAAAGATGCCTGCAGAAAACAGATGGATGGATGGATGGATGGATGGATGGATGGATGGATGGATGGATGGATGGATGGATGGATGGATGGATGGATGGATGGATGGATGGATGGATGGATGGATGGATAGATAGATAGATAGATAGATAGATAGATAGATAGATAGATAGATAGATAGATAGATAGATAGATAGATAGATAGATAGATAGAAATGCATATTACAATAATAAAATTTGTCGTTTGACCCTTTAGATTCTGAACAACTGGAAATACCATAAACCAAAAGTGGCGTCTTACTGGCTGGTGAAGTTAGATGCCACCAAACAAAGAAAGGTGAGTGAACTTAATATGCATGGAGTTATACAAGGTGAAACACTAAACACTCAATTATTTTTTGATACGCTGGAGTTTTTCAGCTGAGTCTCAGGTGACCAAAGTGTATGGTGGATGAAAAAAAATGGAGGTCTTCAAAAATGCCATTTGGATCTGCCTTAACAGAGCACATGATGCAACAAATTGAAACAGTTCAAAGGCACTCAATTTCAGCTCTATTACAGTAGTGAACAACAGGTGGTTACAGCAGGTTACAGGTGTTTTGATTTGACACAGTAGGGCGGACGTTGTAGGGTAGGCATGACAGACTGATATAATGAGGGATTGTCTCGTTCCACAAGCTGATTATCTGCCGAGGTTTGAGGGATCAATCAGAATAGAGTTAACATGTCTCATACGGGGCCATTAAATCAGGCATATTGTTGAAAGTCACATCACAGATGTCGACGAGCAGAATAACTGAGGGAGAGGGAAGAGGAAGATGGGCGGAAACTCGCTGAGAATCCTGACATTACTCTTTGTCTGAATTTTACTGTTCACATACCCCTCCAGTATCTTTGGGAAGTCTGATTTATTTTAGCAGATCGGTTCGTTAGAACGATTCATTTCGATAAATGATTCACTGATTCAATTGAATATTCTGCCCAGAAGTTCCTGCATTTTTTGTAGCAAAAATAAATATTTAAACTATGTTACTGTATTCATAGCTATACTTTTTATTCTGCTATAAACATCAGTGGGATTTAGAGTTTTTGCTTTTTTCAATATAAAATTCTGTCGCTGCGAGATCTTCTGTGTGAACATTGCGTACTACTTTCTGTGGTATTTTAGCCACTTTTACTTATCTGATTATTTCAGGTTTTGGATATTGTCCATACCAACATCCGCTCAGTGCTTCAGAGGATTTGGAGTGAACCAGATGTGGAGAGTCTACGACTTTATCGCCTTTTCAACCGCGTGTTTAACCGTCTGCTCTGGAGTCATGGTCAGGGGCTCTGGAACTGCCTTTCCAGCTCTGGGTATGAGACTTTTATTTTGCCTTAAAAGTGGACATGACATTAGAATGAAGTCTATTTGCATTTACTTTATTACTTTGCACTTCTAGCACATCATTTGATTTATTTTTTATATTTTAACAGTTTATTGAACTGTTGTGTAAAAGCAATATCACACCAGCGATCGTACCGTCAGTCAGAACATCAATACGACTGTGATTTACTGTGGCCAAATCAAAACATTGTGATATTGCCTAATTGTATGTGTCAGAAATATATATTTTGCCAAAAATACAGTAATTTTAGTGGTAAGGCCACAGTAGTGTGTAAATTGGCAAGAGCTTCTCCAGCTCTACAAAGAATAATAAGCTGTGTCATGTCTGGTTTTAAATATCCTTCATTCATTAATTATTTGACTTGTAAATGTCACATAAAATGGGTTGGAAGAGCGTTTAATGTAAAAAGACATTTAGACAGAACATAACCCCAGCCACGAGAAAAATGGTCTCTCTTTTGTCTTTATTGACTCAATTGTGAGTCTTTATATAGACTTTTACTTCCTTAGAGAGTCACACATAGAAGCATACACGCTTGCTGTTATTATACACATAGAGCCTTACATGCTGCGATTTTATCAGCTATGAGCGCAAACAGTGGGGACACCTTCTTATTGACCGCCTTCCTCCCTCTAGTCATTGTGAGCACTTCTCAGGGGCTTTGTGTGGCCCAATCACTCTTGAAATTGCCACAGAGTGAAGGATGTTATATAGCCAGGTTTAGACCAATTGGAGTTGATGAGAGCGAACACAGCTCTAGGGGATTAGTGGCAGTGCCAGCGACCCATGCTGCTTCTGTTTAATCAGGGACTGACGTGTGAAGGTGGCCCGTGAGCCGTTAGCACGGCAAGGGGATAGCAGTGGGAGAGCACTGTAGAGCCTCCCTGCCTGTAATGTACAATTCAGATCCCTAGAAGTTACATTTCATCATCTCTACAATGAAACCTCATCTCCTCCACCAAGGCTTTAAAGAGAAAATACTTTTTATCGTTTCTTTCTTCAACAAGAGCCAAACGAACGAGAATCAAACCTTTTAACCTTCCTCATGGTTTGTTCCAGCAGTGGCTATCGTTGTAAAAGCTGGCTCATATTGCCTCTATAGTGGTTTATATGAAAGTAAAAATATAAAGTTTAAAAATTGGTACTTAATCAGAATTTTGTCTTATTTTCCAGTGAAAATATGTCAACATCAACCTTCACTGAAAAAATGATACAGTGGACCAAAACTGTAAAACAACTGTAATCTGTTACAGTCAAATTTATTTGTCTCAAATTGTATTTAGGATTTGGTTCAAATCTTAAAATTTTATTTAATATTAATAAAAAATATTTGTTCTCGGAAAGACAAAAACACAGAATATTTGTTATAAAGATCATACTGTATACTGAAAAAGGGTGTTGGATTTACATGATTTAATAATGCATTGGTTGTACTTGAACTAACTAAGTAACTAATTTGTTCACACGAGCAGATTAAGTAGTGTCGAAGTGATTTTATACAGATATATACTTTTGGTCACATCACTGAATATTGTAACATGGTATAAACTAGCAACAAAGACATGCATATATATATATAGACATGCATGCAAGGTCAAAAAACACTTTCATTGTCTTATAATATGCATTTATTTTTATCTTACTTGCTCAACGACTCCCAAACGATTCGCTCAACGATTCATTTTTCCAAACCCCTCTTTTGCATGATGTTAATTTGCGGTGATTGGTCCGATTGGTCTCATTGTCATTTCATCATGCCTGTAATGCCTGATAAAGCAGCGTTTGTGAGCGCAGTGCTGCTTTGTGTACAGAGTTACCGGGGAAATGGCTATTCTTACTGCTCCAAAAGCAGCACCTAGTGGCAAAGAATGAATTTGCATTTTCATTCAGACCAATGCGAAAAGACCAACAAGTGGGCGGGCAATATGCTAATGTTTAATGTTCACGTCAACATGAAACGGCTTGGGATTCGTTTTAAAAACGAATCGTTTCAATGATTCAGAGTCGAGAGACTATAACTTTATACATGGGGCATTTTCAGATTTGAAATTTTGCGGGAAGTTTTCATTCACTTAGAGCTGTGTTACACACTGCATGAAAGGTAATTTTCAAAAACCCATATTAGGGGCACTTTAATACATTATTTATAAAAATGACATAACGAATAAACATAGAATTGTGTGAAAATACAGAGTGAGAAGGGTTACACATTTGACTAGGATGAAGTTATTATTATTAAAGAGGTTTAAGCGGAGTTTTCAGTTGCCACACAACATTGCAACCATTCAATCTTTTTATGTTTTGAATCTTATTTTAGGTGATTTCTTTTGTTTTTATTAAGTAGCTCATATATTTTCGTTTTTCTTATATTTTGGTCTGTGTCCATCAAGACCCAAAATAAAAAAGATAATATAATTGAAATGAAACTTTTTCTGTTAAATTTCCAGCAAAATATATTGTCATTATTTTACTTTGACATAAATTATGCATACCATGTTATATATGTTGCTGCCACCCACTCTGAGGCTGTAGGATTTCTGTATGTATTTTTCTTCAGCAGGTCATCATGGGAGAGTGTTTTCAGTAAGAGCAGTGAGGTGGTGACCGCGCAGGAGCTGAGGTGCTGCCAGCGTGTCGTACAGTTGTGCAGAGACTGTCTGCTTGTAGTCTACAAGTTTGTGGCTGACTCCCGTGGTTCTCTCAGTGGACTTAGCCCAGACTGGGACGACACAAGGTATAGTCACTTCCTCAAGCACCCATGATCACTCTGCTTGCTATAAGAACAAACTGACAATCACATCACCATTAGTACAGTTAACACCGCAGAACAGCATTTAATATGAAAGTTCAATAACGAAAGAAAATGAAGTGATTAATTGCATCATGCAACCTCATTTAAAGCATCTAAAACTTTTGCAAACTCTGGGACTAAACTCTACAGATACTGCATTCATGTCACGTTGAATTTACGGAAATTATGAGATGACAAAACAGAGATTGGGACACATTTTGTTTTTATGGCAATGCTCACTTTTCTTTCTAATGACAGCAAAAATTTAATACATTCTTTCCCCTTCCTTAAAATATTGAAAAATACTGAAATGTAACATGTGGCACTGGCTATAATAATTTTACATGCAAATATCAAGTTTGCTAACTGTTTGTTGTTTTTATATGATGTCACAATAGGCGAATTCACTGCTTTTTCCATGCAGTATTTCATGACAAACACTTGTATTTAATGGTCAATATCGCTGTAGGGTGCCTGTACATAAATAACTCATTTGCCATGATAACTTAACAAAAAAAAAATGACTATGAAAGGGTGTGTTATATTAGGCTAAGTTTTTATATTCATAACAAAAGCATTACTTGACTCTTTAGATACATTTTCTAGATTTTTTTTTTTTTAGTTTTGTGTAAGAGGATGCGTGTTATTTTGCTATGTCCCATGCACTGATCATTAAATTTGAATGATAGTAGAATACTGTCAAATAATACAATTTTTAAATTGTGTTCTCCTATTAATATTTTGTTAAATAAGAGATTACTCAATTTGAGTGTATTGTTCATTTGGTAATAAAAACAATATTTTTATTTAATAAAAAAGAAGAGTTTATCCATGTCCCTTGAATGGTTGTCCACCCTGTCGTATTGGGGAATCCGCCCCTTTAAGAAAAGGCCATCCCCTTTAGTGACATCAGGACAACAGATTTTTTGTCTCTTCAGTGGCGGGAATTTCAACGGCTGAGATGAGTAAGTTGGTGACTTTGCAAATGACAAATTTTCTTTTGTATGAGTTTGCTTACTTGCTTTGCCAAAGCTTAACATGTCCACCCTGTTGGCATAAAATATGCCAGAAGTGATTAGAATTATCAAAATATGTAAGTTTAAATATACCAAATTCTCTTCAACAACCAGACTAACTATTTAGCTAGGTTGTTGTAAGCTAATATGCTAATTGAAGCTCAATATGTCATCCACTTAGACTCGATAGGGTGGATATACACATGCCAGGGTGGACATAGCATTCATTTGTAGTTAATATTGCTAAAAACTAAAATGAATGGG